CCCTATATCTCATCTCGCTCCCAACCACCACCACAGCCACTAGTGGACCTCCACCGTCGTCAACCATCACCTCAAATCCCGTTAACCTAGTCAAATTGCAGATCAAGCCAAACCCATTGTGAAAAACACATCCCACCCCTCAAATTTGCAGACCAACTAAAACCCAAGTGAAACTAAACTCGTAAAACCACTTCAATGGTTAGGAGAAAAGGTGAAGGTGAAGTCGCACCTAATTTCTTAAGTATGATTTAATTTCGTTTGGAAATCCTAATACTTCTAATAAACCATTGTTTATTTTTCAATGCCAATGTCTTTGATCATGAGTTAAAGTCTTAGTCTGACTTGAATTTTCATTCTTGTATCACTTTGTACCAGTCTGAATGCATATATGTCTTTCAATTTTGTCTTTAATTGGTAGTGTGGTTTGATGTAGGCCCTAGTTGGCCAAAACTGCAATGCATATGTGATTTTTCTATATTACATAGGTTAAGATACATGTGCTATCAAATTGCAAGGGCTGATTTGCTTACACTCAAGTTCATATGCGGAGGGTAGATGATATATTTTGATAAGGTGGATCCAGACTTGTTGTCAACTTATGAACTCACGTTTATGATGGAAGAAGTTGGATGCAAAAATGTGAAGAGATTTCATTTCACCAAGCCAGGAGAGGACCCTCAATGTGCTTTGCATCCATTAGATGGTGACAATGACATATCAATTATGATTAACATTATCCCTAGTTCAAGGGAAATGACAATCTATGTGGAGCATGATGCGAACAACTCAGTTTTAGTTCCAGAACCAAACTTTAATGATTTTTTTGCATGAGATAATGGGTGATGTTCTCTCAAGTCCCAGAAAAAGTGTTCTCTCACATTCAAAGCAATGCTTAGGTACAAGATGAAGTTCTTAATAGCATATGGTCAAATGAAATTCCTAACCCTAATGTAGATAAGGGTAAAAGGATATATGGAAATGTTTTAGAAGAAAGTGGGGAGCAATATGAAGTCAATAGTGAAGGGCTATATGAAACCTTTTTACAAAAGGATGGGGAGATTACTTATCGATGTAATCATGAGTGAAGGGCTGTATGATTCTGAAAATGAAGCTGCTATGAAAGATGATGATTTGTTGTTTGCTAAGTATGTGGACATCCCATCTGTAAGGACAAACACGAGACCTGTTATACCTAAAAATATTACTGATAAGGAGCTACATGAGGAGAAAGAGCACAACTTTGAGGAATTGCATAGTCCTCATAATTCAGATGATGATGAAGTAACTATTGAGAGAGATCCTAAGTTTAATGCAGAAATTGATATGGATAAACCTAGTTTCAAAATTAGGATGAGGTTTGCATAAGCTAAACACCTGAAAACCGCTATCAAGAGGTATTCAATTTATGGGGATTATGATATTGATATGAAGAAGAATGATAGGGGTAGGGTTACTACAGTTTGTGTAGTAGGGTATCTTTGGAGATTGCATACAAGTGTAATGCAAAATGATACCACTTGGCAAATCAAAGTTCTTAAAGATAAACATATATGCAATAGAGTGGAAAAATAAGTATGCGACATACAAGTTCATTGCTGAGAAGTATTTGAATCGATTTAAATATCATCCGGGCATGACTGCAAAAACTTTACAGGATGTAATAAAGAGGGACATGAAGTTGGATGTTGGGATTAGTCAGTGTTTTAGAGCAAGGAAAGAAGTCTTACAAGTGTTATAAGGGTCATATGATGAGCAATATGCTAAGATTTGGGAATATTGTGAAGAAGTAAGGAAAACATACATGGGAAGTACTATGAAAGTGAGTGTAGATCTTCCATTCTTTAAGAGGTTATATGTTTGTTTTGATGCTTGCAAGAAATGATTCAAAGCGGGGCGCAGACCAATGATCAGGGTAGACGGTTGTCATCTCAAAGGACCATATGAAGGTAAATTATTATGCTCCATCATTTTATATTATAACTTAAGTTGGTCAGAGACTCCATACTTTGTTTCTCTAGTTATTGTCACAGGTCAACTACTTGCAGCCGTTGGTATTGATGTTAATGATAATATGTTTCCAATAGCCTATGCTGCAGTTGAAATTGAAAACAAAGAAACATGGTCATGGTTTTTACAGTTACTTATTGATGATCTTGGACCAGTTGAAGAACACGGATGGACATTTATTTCAGATCAACAAAAGGTAACACTAAAACTAGTTCACCAAGACTGTTCTATGAATAAAGTTGTTTGCCAATTGATATGCCGTATTGAAAAATACTAGATAGTTGGGAAGAGTAAACATGTAATAAAATATAATTACATATTTAACTGAAACAAAATGATGCCTTATGTTTTTTATTTATTGCATCTAGTTTGATAGAATGCTTAATGCACTTGTGGGGTTATGATGTAGCTTTTAAGCAAGTGGTCCTAAGGGCAAATCATAGATGAAGTGTGAGGCATCTATATGGAAACTTCAAAGCAATTCACAAAGATAAGACACTAAAAAATTTGTTATGGAGTGCTGCAAGGGCACCTAATCGTGTTGAATTTGAAACTGAGATGGAGAAGTTGAAGAGTGTCAATGACAAAGCATATAATTGGTTGGCAGCAAGAGATCCTATTAGGTGGGCTAGGCCAAGGTTTAGCACTAGGGTGAAGTGTGATATGCTTCTTAATAACCTATGTGAAACATTTAATAGCTGGATACTTATTGCTAGGGATAAACCAATTTTAACCATGATGGACATGATAAAGTGCAATTTAATGAGAAGGTTGCAGGATAAAAAGACAGAAATGAGTACATGGCCAAAAAGAATTTGTCCTAAAATTCAAACTAAGCTTAACAAGGCAAGATTTTCTGGTAGAAATTACTTGGCTACACACGCAGGGAATCTTGTATTCCAAGTTGGGACTTACTTGAATGATCAGTATGTTGTTGATGTTGGTAATAGGGCTTGTAGTTGTAGGAGCTGAGATCTAACTGGGATCCCATGCATCCATGCTTGTGCAACATTGTTTCACCATAGAGTTGACCCAGAGGAATATGTGGATGAGGTGTATACTAAAGAAACTTACTTGAGAGCCATGACTACATAATTTTTCCAGTTAAAGGAAATAACATGTGGCTTAAGTCTACCAACACACCATTACTACCACGATTAGTGAAAAAACAACCGGGGAGGCCTAAAAGGGTTAGAAGAAAAGACCCAGAAATGGAAAAAAAAAGTCGTTGATCCGAACAACAAACAATTAGCAAGTCGAAAAGGAAAGACAATAAGGTGCAGCAAGTATTGGCAATGGGGCCATCGTTGGAATTTCTGTAAGAACGAGCCTACGGATGTTCCACTTGGTGTATATGTGGACAAGAGGTATATGTATCCAAGACCTCGTGCTGAAGTCAGAAAAGGTAAGAAAGCTAGTGCAAATCCTATTGAAGTTGTTGATAGTGGTAATACAACTGGCAATTATCATGCTTATGGACATGAAACTCCTATTGAAGTTCAAGCACCTACAATGGCCAAACAACCGGTGAGCTACTTAATTTTGTACTTCTATGCAAATGTTGCAACTCCACTTGGATGACATTATTGTAATTTTCCTTATAAAAATATCTAGGCTATAAGGCATACACATGTGGAAACTACATGAGCAACAAGCCAATTGGCAACTGCAATCACTGAAGGTCTAATAGGTGACATTCCATATCAGTTAGCTGGAAATTCAACTCTAGTGCATACAAGGGCTAAAGTAAGTCGTTTATTTTGTAGTTCTTCACATATTATCTAGACACTTGGATGCTATTTTGATATTCTAATAATATATTGTACAAAAATAAGTGTAAGAGGCAGACAACTGTTGAAACTATTGGAAGTTCAGCTCCATCAGTTGTATTGCCTTCAATGATATCATCCAATTCCAACTCTGCCAATGCACCTTGGAGACCTCCAGGAATGACCTTTGCAATATCATCCAATGCTAAGAATTCTTGGAGACCTTCTGGAATGGCCCTAATGCACAATATGCAAAATCAACAGATGAAAAAGCACCGTACCTTGCAAAAGAAATGATGCAACGAAGGAAATTGATTTTATTTTGTGGGAGACTAGATTATTTGTTTATTTTGTGGAAGACATTTTCAATGGCAATTTGTTATGATGAACCATAATATATTGTGGAAGACATACTTTTGTCTTTGCTTTTTTATTTTTTTATTTTTTTTAGGCTTGACATAATTTTCTCATCAGTGTGCAAAATATTTTATGGTATGAAAACTAACAAAATTTTTTCTTTTGTGAATGGTTAATTATATTATCTCTCCTTTTTCACTTGGGTTTTGGTTGGTTTGCAAACTTGGAGGGTGGGATATGTTTTTAACAATGAGTTTGGCTTGACCTGCAATTTGACTAGGTTAACGGGATTTGAGGTGATGATTAACGACGGTGGAGGTCCACTAGTGGCTATGGTGGTGGCTGGGAGCCTGAGATGAGATAGGGGACTGTTGGGTTTTTTTTTATCTTCACAAGTGATTTTATTTTAATTCAATCATATTTTTGTCCTTTTATTTTCCAAAATAAATGAACTTAATTTTGACCGATTTTATTTAATGGAAGACTAACGGAATTTTGGATTTGAACCTTAATTGCTAACAAAACTCATTACAGAGGTTTAATTAAATAGCTTTTTCATCACAAAGATCATATTGAAAGTGACACGTCACCACATGGACTACAAAAAAAATTTGGCCATATATTAATAGGAATTGTTATTAGCACTTCAAAAATCTCATTCTACATTCCAAACTTTCTATATTAGAAAAGAAAAAAACAAAAAAATGTAAAATAAGATTTTTGGAATGGAATAACATTTTCGAGGTTAATTTCCAAATTTTTCTTCACAAAAACACAAAGAAAAGAAAAGAATGGGGCAGCGAGTGTGATTGTCTGGGTATTCTCCCAAATCTTAAACCCGTCGAGTCTGAGAGAAACAGTCGGTGACTGACAACTGAGACGATGGACAGAGAATGGGGCTCAAAGCCCGGAAGCGGAGGAGCCGCCTCTGCACAGAACGAAGCCATCGACCGCCGCGAGCGTCTCCGGCGGCTCGCGCTCGAGACCATCGATCTCGCCAAAGATCCCTATTTCATGCGCAATCACCTCGGAAGGTGTGACCCTCTTTTTCTTTCTGCTCAAATTTCACTGCTTTTAATCTGATTGTTGGTGGGTCTTTGTAGCTATGAGTGTAAGCTTTGTTTGACGCTGCACAACAACGAGGGCAACTACTTGGCGCATACACAAGGCAAGCGCCATCAGACTAATTTGGCAAAACGAGCTGCTCGCGAGGCGAAGGACGCACCTGCGCAGCCCCAGCCGCACAAGCGCAAGGTCAATGTGCGAAAGACGGGTATGTGTGTCATAAATTTTTCACAAGCATTTTGTCGGACGCTCTGTGGGCATGTAAAGTTGTTTATGATGTATAATGTGGGGTTTTTTTTTTTAGTTTGATTTGGTTTTTTTTTAAAGATTTTATGGCTGATTGGCACAGCTGGTGCATTTAAGTAGAATGTGTTTTTGGACAAGAAAATTAGATTGAGTTAACCAAGGGCGGAACCAGAAATTTTGTTAAGGCGGGCTAGATAAATTTTAGGGGTGATATGATGGCCGCTAACAAGAATCTTGACGACAAATCATTTGAAAAATTAGGGAAAATTAGGGGGAAGATGGAGAGGTTAGGGTTAAGAGTTAAAGGCATGAGTGTTTACTAAGGGATTTTGTTTATTAATTGAGTCAACAATTAATCTAGGATGCGTAATGTTTACAAATTAGAGTGGGAATGGATTACTAGGTTAAATTTGGATGGGCAAATAAGATGTTTGGGGTGAATTATCTTAACATATAAATGGATACATATACATACACATATATATGGGTTAGGATCCAGGGACACACTTTTGACACACATTTTGACACTCATTTTTGTAGGGCTCACTTCGTAATGTAGTATGTTTTAGTACATCATTCATAGATCATCCTTGCAAAACTTAGACAAATCCAAAACCATTAAGACATTCATTTGTAGTGAAGAAAATGGACAAAGACGATTCTACAAGAAACACTAAATTTAGTCCAATGGTCATATGGTTTTGGATTTGGGTGATTTTTGGTAGACATGATTTTTGAGGTAATATATAAAAATGGATGGTTGGATCGTTGAAATACATTACAGAGTGGGCTTCACAAAAACGTGTGTCAAATGTGTGTCAAAAGTGTGTGTCCCCCGATCCTAACACTATATATATATAAAGTTATTTATTTATTTAAATGGCTTCCTGGGCTATAGCCCATGGTAACCATTTTTGTAATTCTGCCAATGGAGTTAACCGTCGTAAGTATATCCTTTAATCTATGGTTGCAGTCAAAATTGGTAGGCCGGGGTATCGGGTGACAAAGCAGTTTGATGGAGAAACAAAGCAGAGGTCTCTTCTTTTCCAGGTGTCTGTGTCTGTGTTCATTGTGATATATTTATTTTCCAGAAATAATGAGTTCTCGTTCAAGGATATGTAGAATGCTAAACAATGGATTGGCTAATAGTGTTACTATATGTATGCTATGCAGATTGAATATCCTGAGATTGAAGATAATACAAAGCCAAGGCATCGTTTTATGTCATCTTATGAGCAGGCAGGGCTATTTATATTAATCTGAGTTTGTGGTCTGCAATTTATGGCCGTCGTCTTCTTCTACTCTTTTTTCTTATTTACAGGCTTCAGTGAATGGTTTTGATATTTCTTTAAATGTTGACATTTCATGAACACAGAGGGTTCAACCTGTCGACAAAAAGTACCAGTATCTTCTGTTTGCAGCTGAGCCTTATGAGATAGTTGCTTTCAAGGTATACCTCATCGTCAATGCATTGGGTACTCATTCATTCTCTATATTGTTAGATTCAAGACGCTTGTTGTGCCTGCATGTTTGTTTCTGTTTCAGGTTCCTAACATTGAGATCGACAAAACTGATAAGTTTTTCTCACATTGGGATCCAGACTCAAAAATGTTCACAGTTAGTTTTCTAACCCTATAGATTTGTTTTGTTTTATCTGCACTGCAAGAACTAGTTGCAGTGTTTCATTGGACTGTTAACCTCGTGGTACATTAGATTGGTAAATCTTGTCCGAGGTTGTTTTAAGATATATGAACTTATAACCTTAGTGCCCGTTTCATAATCATTTCATTTTACTATATACTTCTTCACTTTTTGTGTTTGAGATGTAGGGAGAGTATATGGGGGAAAGAAGGGAAGAAGGGTGGTGGGGAGGGAAGGGAAGAAACAAGGAAGAGTGACTGAAATCAAAATCTTGAACGAGTTTTTGGTTTCTAGTTTTCGTTGTGTCTTTTGTTATACATATCTTCACAACCATCCTTCCTCAACTATTTTATGTCCCTCATTTTTACCGACTTATTTCCCTTCTATCTCTAGCACAACAATGAAAAATAAAAATTTGAAACGAATTTGTTAACAAATGGCCCTGTGGAATCCAACTTAATAAAGCTTATATGATTCAGCAAGTGAGTCATGTTTTCGGTCTTGAGTCTGTTGGCACCAATTGGTGATATCTACATAAACTGCTGCATACTCACTAGATCAGGCTGGATTAGTAAAATTAAGAAGGAAAAGAAATCCTGGCAAACTGTAGGTTTTTATAGAACCCCTCAGCTAGCCACTTGTAGTGTTATTATGGATTCATAGTTGTGAAATTACTTTGGTATCCTCCGAATGAAAACTCAGCGGGATTTTTTTTCTAAAGTATTGAGTTTGAAGTGCTTTTTAAAGTCTAATGTTTTCAAGGGCATTTATGTGAAAGCCCTCTGGTTTCAATGTCTTGCTTGGTTGATTTTCTTTTATTTTTTTGTTGGTTGAATTGTTCTTCTCACTTTTTCTTGTTGGATGTATCAATATGCAGTTGCAGCTATATTTCAAAACTAAGCCACCAGAGGCGAACAAACCGCAACCTCCCCCTGCAGCTAATGGCCCAGGTGCACCCGGTGTTCCATCAAGGCCTTTGCCCCCACCACCCCAAGGTCCTCCTCTGCCACAAGGACTGCCTCCTGGTGCACCAATGGGAAATCCTCCTAGAGCTCCTCCGCCAGGTCCTGGATCTTTACTACCACCACCTCCTATGGGAAATGGCCCTAGGCCTATGCCTCCTGGTGGCGCTCCGCCTGCCCCTCCTCCACCTCCTGTTGGTAATACAATGGCGAATTTCACTCCTGGCTCTCAGATGGGAAGGCCTCCATCTATGCCACCTCCACAAGGCTTTCCGGGACAACAAATGCAGGGCCAGGGTCTTCGTCCACCCCCACCACCTCCTAATATGGGCTAAGGGAACCTATTGCCTTGGGGTGACAGTCCTTATACCGGAACATCTCAGTGAAAATATTTGCAGCATCTGCGTGGAGAATGAAGTCAACAAAAATGCCCCTGTATTTCCGTTAAACTCGAAGCTGTACCTTGTTACGCTTTATTTTTAACTATTCAATTGAACAAATCAAGAAAAATACTTTCCTGTTACTTTGACCTTTAGATTGAAACACGACTCTTCAAAGATGTCATGTTTGTCCTGAATCCAACAGAGGAAAGGAATAATAAGAGTACGGAAATCATTTCCAAATTTATAATCATTTGTAACGGCTTGTTTGTACAAAAAAATAAAAGATGGTTTGGATGTCTCTGATCGATTAAACACAGTACATTGATCGGAAAAATGATATAGGTACGTTTAAGTAAGCAGCAGGCGCTCCAAAAGTAGCAAAACCAGTGGGAGGGGGAAACAAATTCAAATCTGTCACCAAATCATTACGATGTTCAACCCAGCTGCTGCTCAATGCTGGCATAGCCGATGATGCTCCTTCTCCGGATGCCTTTGCAAACGGTCCTTGAGGGATGCTAACCGCAGGCCTTATCAAAAGTACCCTCAGATGAGGATCATTCTGCACTGGACACCAAATTCTTACCTTGTTAAGGCATTTGGAGGGTACACCTTCCGGATGAATTCCAAGAAGCGCCGGGAATAGAATGTCGGGTCGACAGCGGAGATGGACAAGGAATCGAATTGAAGAGATTTGTACGCGTGTTCAATCTTCTTTCCCATGCTGTAGTCTTGCAATATATCAATGATCCCAAGATATAGCACAACGTCGTATACATCATGAAATGTTTGCTGGTCTCCCTGTTCACCGGGAACCTGCTCTGCCCTTGCTGGCATGTTCACACCCAGCTGGATTTGGAGCCTACTCAAATTTGTAAAGACATAAGTTTAATTAGAAATGCCTTTGGTCGGGATTTTCACTTCCAATGCATAGCTTTTCAAACGAAGGCTTAAACGGATTCTCTGAATGGGGTCTATATAAATGCTCCTTGGATGCATTCTATTGCAGCAGATCATACCTTGCTGTACCGGGTAATAGGAGATCGACTTCCTCATAACCGGCAGATGATGCTCTCAGTCGGCTACCTCTCACATGGGGGCCAACAACAACACTAGCATCGTCGCTTCCACGAGGGATTAAGACAAGTCCCTGTGGGTAATTGGAGATCTCGTCCTCCAGAGTCTCTGTCATTTGAACACCGGGGACAAAAAACTTTACGTTAGTCTTTAGTAATAGTTGAAAAAATAACTCCATATCCTCGAGAGAAAGGGGATGACAACCACCTTCCTCTGCAAGGATTCCCAAACCATCAGCTCGAGTGGTATTATTGTAGGACGTGACAGACCGCAGATGTTGGGGGGCTCGATAATGCACTCCCATGAGAAGGCTGTAGTCCATAATGTGCTGCGCCTCCAGAAATTTACTGTCGATCTCAATCTGACTGCATAATATTCGGAAAGCACAATGAGTTACAGTAGTAATAACATATGCAAAAACATTGGAACCTAAAGCCTGAATAATACATGTTAAGCAGGCGAAAAATGACGTGAGTGGAACTAATAGGATGTTACCACCTAGTATTGTTACAAGTAAACCGAGTACTTAAATACTTAGTATTGTTACAAGTAAACCGAATACTTAAATCTGGCCCTTAGAAACCACGTCGACTAAATCTTTCACAACCAACACAAACGAGAATAACAGAACTACATTTTTTTTTATTTTTTTATTTTTTTTGATAAACAGGGGTGTGTTTTCGTAAACTTAAAAGAACTTGCACTTACGTCATTAAGGCCTCTCGCCAAGAAGGTTCGAGATAAAAAGAGTAGTTTAAATCCAAGTCCTTGAGCGTTGTGTTTTCATCGATTTCAATCTTATCAGCAGAACGACCAAGGGATGAACCTTTCAAATCAAATCTTCGATGTATTCTTAGCTCTGTGCAGAACATGTTTCCCATCACTACAAAGCGGAACTGCAAAGCATATTTTAATGTAAAAATGTCCGTCTTCAAAATGCAAGAAGCAATTTACATTCATAGAGACAGTATGATCGCAAATAACAAGGGAATTCACTATAGAATCTCGAATGATACTATTACTGGAATGTAACGGCATGATAATGCAGATATGTAAACACAATTCTAGCATGGGAGCTCATAAGAATCTAAAGCGCTGTTCCCATTACCTTTTGACCACTTGAAGGTTTAATCCTATGAAGTCCAAAGAATTTTGTGATGAGGGTGTTCTCGTACGACCTTACATGATGATGATAACTAGGAAGCATCCGCAGAAGAACCTACACATCAGAAATCTGGTTACCACACCTCCAGATGATTAAAGAAAAGAGGAGGCGAAAGATGAAGAATCGATTACAGCGCATGTATCACAATTCAGAATTAAACAGAAATGTTTGCTGATCATAGTGTTGTTATATGAAAGATAGCACTTCCGTAACAGAAAATTATACGGTCACAGTTTCACTAATTGCTTAAGCTGGTCCTCCGCATAGACATAAGATTTGTCAAGAACCTTATTCTGAGTCCGAACAAAATTTCTGAGATGGTGGTAACCAATTAATGACATGTCCAGTAATTCTAAAACAACTTAATTCCAATCCGCTATCCAGTTTTCTCTTCATAATTCTTTTTCACATCAAACATCGTGAACAAAATCATGAAAATTCACAAAGGAGTATCTAAGGTGCTTTAGCTTTACGGATTAATGAAAAGAATCAAAGGAAGCAGTTTACTGGTTTTAGTGTGAATTCATTTCCACACCGAGAAGAAAGATAACTTCACAAGCATTTAGTAATTCATGTACATCAAGTCATCAACAAAAAAATGTAGATGCACAAGCTCTAGCAGTGATACAAACCTGAACTTCAGATTTCCTGAGCGTCTTAATCATGAAATGGTCATCTTGAGATAGGAAAAACACACTACCACTTTTTCCGGGAGAAGAAAGTTCTCTGAGAGCATCATTTCCGCAAATAGACATCATGTAGTCAGCAGCATCAATCTTGAACATCTCCCTCAAATTCCTGGAAAGTTGATATAAAAGGAATGATATTGCAATGTCACAACTCACGATAAAGTAAATAGGAAACTGTTGGCAGCACAGTATCTGCACAACAGCCCAAAAACATTACAGAAGTATACAATACAGTGAATACACCCACACACACACACACACACACACACATGATTGTGTATATGAGTAAACGACCCAATTATTCAGGTTAAGGTTTAGTCAAGTTTTGTGTGTGTGTGTGTGGGCCTGATTTGGCGTCGAAGCCCGCACTTGAATGATTCTGTACATACGTATATGTAATAAGTAAAACGTAGAAAGGGCACTTCTACAAACAAAAGAATATCCCCATCACTGTAAATGCATCAAACAAACAAATAGGCTACAAGCAAAACGTCAAGATAGGACAACTAACCTAAAGACCATAGGGCAATAGTCTTTCCACCTAAAATCTACTGATTGATGAGGCGGTGTCAATTGGGAGCCTTCTTTAGGAAAATTCATCCAAAAACTTGCTCGAGGCCCAAAATCTGATGCCCGGACTTCTCTCCTTTGTATTGGTGTTATCTTCCCAACAGTATACCTGGCCATAATTTAATCCACATTCAACATTAAGTTTCAGCAAACAAAATATGCAATGCACATGAGGTAAGCGATGAACAGCGGCTATTGCAATTGGACTGCAAATTTTTTCACCCCTAAAGGAGAAACCTTTTAAGATAATTAAACACTCTCATGGAGTCATACAGCTAATTTATACATATATTTTTCATTTTTCCCCATAGCGATCCCATGTTTGTCCTGAATCCAACAGAGGAAAGGAAAGACACAAATCGCATTGCTTAATTAGTCTTTGCTAATACCAGAAGGGAGTAACCAATTAAGCAATTATAATCTAATAAAAAACCATGCATTAGATACAAAAGATAAATGAAGACAAAGTAATACAAGTAATGTAAATGTACCTGATACCCAGCTGCAAACTGAGCATTAGATCGTAGCTCCTATGACCTTTAATGATCGCTTCACCAGGTCTCTTCACCACTTTTGCTAGCTTCTTTTGTCGCCGTTTTGCCCTTCTAGATGATGAAGAAAAGCTGTTATTCATTACTAGCTCATTGATCAAGACACCTTGCATATATTCTCGTTCTAAGATTGGAATTCCTGTCTCAGAATCTTTTTCTCCACCCTCAGCTAATGATAGATCATGTCCAATAACTTTTTCGAAAGACACCTCCAGACTCCAACGCCTTTCCAAGGAAACATTTCTATGTGACTGCTCCAAATTTAACAGATTTCTATTGGAGATTTTATTAGCTGAAGCACGATGAGATCCCTGCAGGCTCTCTCCAATCTTTGCATTTCCCATATCCCCTGAACCAGCATTATGGATATGTGCGTTGTTCTGTTTTCTTAAATCTGGCAAGAGCCCTCGTTTCCTCAAAGCGTTCAGGTAAAGTTCTTCTACTACTGGAAGTCTGCTGCCTTTTGGATAAAATGACCCTTTCCCATCTTTTAAACCGCGGGTCCAAGTTCCAACATAGATGCCTCCATCACTCCACGTGTATACTCCAAATCCATGCATCATGCCATTCAACCAGCTTCCTTCAAATGAGTCCCCATTGGTCCATGTGAGAGTTCCTTTCCCTGACATTTTCCCTCCTTTCATATTTCCTAGATAAACATTTCCATTTACCCACGTATACTTGCCAGGCCCTTCTGCCAACCCCTGCATCCAAGAACCTTCAAAGGCATCTCCACTAGGATAGACTTGATATCCCAAACCATGTTTGAGATTCAACCGCCATCGCCCCTTATAAGTCATCTTATCCGACCCAATGTAGGTCCCTGTTCCATGCATATATCCACCTGAAAATTCGCCCTCATAAACAGCACCTGAAGACCAAAGAATTTTTCCATTCCCATGTCTCATCCCCCGTCTCCATTCACCCTCATATATGCAGCCATCTGACCAGACATATGTTCCCTTCCCTTCAGGGATGTTTCCAAGCACGGGTCCAGAATAGGACTCCCTATTCGGAAGCAATAGCTCCCTGACTCTAAAGACTGCAATTTCAGAAGTATCAGCAATTTCGCCATTATTTATTATGGATTCTCTGTCTTCTTTGGAAATGACATCAAGAGACTTTGT